CCCCTGGTGGCAGGTGGGGTGTGGGGAGGAGGTGGCCCTGGGGTCTCTATTGGTCCCTGGAGAGTGGAGTCCCTGCTCCCTGGTCCCCATGGGAGCTGCTCCCTCCCCACACTCTTCCTCCATGATGTCCTGCCTCCCCTCGGCCCAGGAGTGGGGCCGTATCTGTGGACTTTGACCTCTGACCCTGAACCCCCAAAGCTGACTACAAGTAGGTTGTTTGGTTATCCAAGGGGGCCCGGAACCCCCCCCCCACCTCAAAGCAGACACAAAGGGAGGCCTGGGTTCCATTCTCCAGGGTTGGGGTGGGCCAGGCGGAAGTCATGCCTGTGTCTAACTTGGGTCTCTCTTGCTGTGGTGCTAGGAAAGGACCCTCCCCCAAACCGTCCCCTCAGGCCTTGTCCCTCAGACCCTGTCCCTTCCACAGGGGTGTGACTGATACAGCAGGCAGGGCACAGGACCCAGGGGCGCTTAACCACCGAGCCACATCCCAGCCCCCGTTTTAATATGTGATTTTGAGACGGAGGCTGAGGCAGGAGGATCGCCAGTGGGAGGCCAGCCTCCGCCATTTAGAGAAGAGGCCCTGAGCAACTCAGGGAGACCCTGTTCTCAAAATAAAATATTTTTAAAAAAGGGGACGTGGCTCAGTGGTAAATCACCCCCAGGTTCCATCCCTGGTGCCAATAAATATAAATAATTTTTTTTTTAGACTGGGAGGGTGGAGACGGAGTCTCAGACAAAGCGGCCTCTCAAAGCCCTGGAAAGCGCACCCACGGTGCCTGGGGACCAGCCTGGGGAGCGGGCCCTACAGAGAATGGGGCTTCCCCAGGGGGCGGGTGGCACCTCTGGTCATGGCCAGTTTCCAGGCCGTTTCTTGCTGGAAGGCCTGCATCTGCTCCTCCTCCGCCTGTAGCTCCCTGTCCTCCGCCTCCTCCTCCAGCTGCAGCTCGCGACGCAGGTGGCTGTGCTTGGTGGACACCTTGGAGGACACGGTCGTCTTCTGGTGGAGCTGCATGGCCTTCCTCTGCTCCCGCTCCTGGGGAACGCGGGTGGTGTC